GTGTGTGTCTGTGTGTCTGTGTGTGGTGTGTGTGTGGTGTGTGTGTGGTGTGTGTGTGGTGTGTGTGTGGTGTGTGTGTGTGTGTGGTGTGTGTCTGTGTGTGTGGTGTGTGTGGTGTGTGTGTGTGGTGTGTCTGTGTGTGTGTGTGTGTGGTGTGTGTGGTGTGTGTGTGTGGTGTGTGTCTGTGTGTCTGTGTGTGGTGTGTGTGTGGTGTGTGTGGTGTGTGTGGTGTGTGTGTGTGTGTCTGTGTGTGTGTGTGTGTGTGTGGTGTGTGTCTGTGTGTGTGTCTGTGTGTGGTGTGTGTGGTGTGTGTCTGTGTGTGTGTCTGTGTGTGGTGTGTGTGGTGTGTGTGTGTGTGGTGTGTGTCTGTGTGTCTGTGTGTGGTGTGTGTGTGGTGTGTGTCTGTGTGTGTTGTGTGTGTGGTGTGTGTGGTGTGTGTGTGTAGTGTGTCTGTGTGTGGTGTGTGTGGTGTGTGTGTCTGTGTGTGTCTGTGTGTGGTGTGTATCTGTGTGTGTGTGTCTGTGTGTGGTGTGTGTGTGGTGTGTGTCTGTGTGTCTGTGTTGTGTGTGGTGTGTCTGTGTGTGTGTCTGGTGTGTGTGTTGTGTGTGGTGTGTTTGTGGTGTGTGTCTGTGTGGTGTGTGTCTGTGTGTGGTGTGTGTGTGGTGTGTGTCTGTGTGTCTGTGTGTGCGGTGTGTGTGGTGTGTGTCTGTTTTGTGTGTGTGGAGTGTCTGTGTGTGTATCTGTGTGTGGTGTGTGTGGTGTGTGTCTGTGTGTGTGTTGTGTGTGTGGTATGTGTCTGTGTGTGTGTTGTGTGTGTGGTGTTTGTGGTGTGTGTCTGTGTGTGGTGTGTGTCTGTGTGTGGTGTGTGTGTGTGGTGTGTGTGTGTGTGGTGTGTGTCTGTGTGTGTTTGATATGTGTGTGTGGTGTGTGTGTGTGTGGTGTGTGTGGTGTGTGTGTGTGTGGTGTGTGTGTGTGTGTGTGGTGTGTGTGTGGTGTGTGTGTTGTGTGTGTTGTGTGTGTGGTGTGTGTGGTGTGTGTGGTGTGTGTGGTGTGTGTGTGTTGTGTGTGTGGTGTGTGTGTGTTGTGTGTGTGGTGTGTGTCTGTGTGTGTTTGCGGTGTGTGTGTGGTGTGTGTGGTGTGTGTCTGTGTGTGTATGTGTGCGGTGTGTGTGTGGTGTGTGTGGTGTGTGTCTGTGTGTGTGTGTGTGCGGTGTGTGTGTGTGTGGTGTGTGTCTGTGTGGTGTGTGTTTGATGTGTGTGTCTGTGCGGTGTGTGTGTGGTGTGTGTGGTGTGTGTGGTGTGTGTCTGTGTGTGTGTGTGGTGTGTGTTTGATGTGTGTGTGTGTGTGCGGTGTGTGTGTGGTGTGTGTGGTGTGTGTCTGTGTGTGTGTGGTGTGTGTCTGTGTGTGTGGTGTGTGTGTGTGTGTTGTGTGTGTGGTGTGTGTCTGTGTGTGTGTGTTGTGTGTGTCTGTGTGGTGTGTGTGGTGTGTGTGTGTAGTGTGTGTGTGTGTTGTGTGTGTCTGCGTGTGTTGTGTGTGTCTGTGCGGTGTGTGTGGTGTGTGTGTGTGTTGTGTGTGTGGTGTGTGTGTGTGTGTTGTGTGTGTGGTGTGTGTGTTGTGTGTGTCTGTGCGGTGTGTGTTGTGTGTGTCTGTGCGGTGTGTGTGGTGTGTGTGTGTGTGTTGTGTGTGTGGTGTGTGTGTGTGTGTGTTGTGTGTGTCTCTGCGGTGTGTGTGTGTCTGTGCACCTTCATAGGTGTTCGCTAACAGCACTTTCCCCTACAGTCTGATAAGGCTATACGGGGAATCTTTGTCTTTGGTAGTGCAGCGGTTCCCTGCGACGCTGCACAATGAACCCTGCAAGGCCGAGTTTGATTCCTGCTCACGGCCAACACCAGTGACGATCATCCGCACTGCTTCTGGACCTCCCCCTAGGTCGACTCAGCCCTCAAATGAGTGCCTGGTGGGGTGTAGTAAACATCGCCACTGGGGAGACAAAGGCGGCCGGGCGTGGTGCTGCCCACCCACCCCCTCGCCATCGATGGGTGTTTGTGTTGTTGACTTTTATGGTGATGATGATGAAGGTGATGGTGATGGTAGTGGTGATGATGGTGGTGATGATGATGATCATGATGGTGATGATGATGATGGTGATGATGGTGATGATGATGGTGGTTGATGATGGTGGTGATGATGGTGATGATGATGGTGATGATGATGATGATGGTGGTGATGATGGTGGTGATGATGGTGATGATGGTGATGATGATGGTGATGATGGATGGTGACGATGATGGTGATGATGATCATCATGTGACCGTGTGTCTTCCACAGTACGACTTGAAGAACTCGTAGAGGAGTTCTCCTCCTCACCACCTCCTCACCACCTCCTCACCACCACCACCCCCTCCAACCCCACCTCCTCCTCCCCAGCTGCCCACCATGACCCCTCCCCACCACCACAGCCACTGTAAAACGAACCACAACTCGTGAAGTTTACTCGATGGCTTCTCCACCAATCACGGACTACGGTTCCATGCCCTCCACCAATCACAGACTCCGGTTCCATGTTCTAAACCAATCACGGACTACGGTTCCATGCTTTCCACCAATCACGGACTCCGGTTCCATGCTTTCCACCAATCACGGACTACGGTTCCATGCCCTCTACCAATCACAGACTCTGGTTCCATGCCCTCTACCAATCACAGACTCCGGTTCTACGCTCTCCACCAATCACGGACTCTGGTTCTACGTTCTCAACCAAACACGTACTCCGGTTCCATGCTCTCCACCAATCACGGACTACGGTTCCATGCCCTCTACCAATTATGGACTATGGTTCCATGCCCTCTACCAATCACGGACTCCGATTTCACGCTCTCCACCAATCACAGACTCTGGTTCCATGTTCTAAACCAAACACGTATTCCGGTTCCATGCTTTCCACCAATCACGGAATACGGTTCCATGTTCTCTACCAATCACGGACTACGGTTCCATGCCCTCTACCAATCACGGACTCCGGTTCCACGCTCTCCACCAATCACGGACTCTGGTTCCACGTTCTCAACCAAACACGTTCTCCAGTTCCATGCTTTCCACCAATCACGGACTACGGTTCCATGCCCTCTACCAATCACAGACTCCGATTCCACGCTCTCCACCAATCACGGACTACGGTTTCACGTTCTCAACCAATCACGGACTACGGTTCCCCATGCCCTGTACCAATCATTGACTCCGGTTCCACGCTCTCCACCAATCACGGACTACGGTTCCATGCCCTCTACCAATCACGGACTCCGATTTCACGCTCTCCACCAATCACAGACTCTGGTTCCATGTTCTAAACCAAACACGTATTCCGGTTCCATGCTTTCCACCAATCACGGAATACGGTTCCATGTTCTCTACCAATCACGGACTACGGTTCCATGCCCTCTACCAATCACGGACTCCGGTTCCACGCTCTCCACCAATCACGGACTCTGGTTCCACGTTCTCAACCAAACACGTTCTCCAGTTCCATGCTTTCCACCAATCACGGACTACGGTTCCATGCCCTCTACCAATCACAGACTCCGATTCCACGCTCTCCACCAATCACGGACTACGGTTTCACGTTCTCAACCAATCACGGACTACGGTTCCCCATGCCCTGTACCAATCATTGACTCCGGTTCCACGCTCTCCACCAATCACGGACTACGGTTCCATGCCCTCTACCAATCACGGACTCCGATTTCACGCTCTCCACCAATCACAGACTCTGGTTCCATGTTCTAAACCAAACACGTATTCCGGTTCCATGCTTTCCACCAATCACGGAATACGGTTCCATGTTCTCTACCAATCACGGACTACGGTTCCATGCCCTCTACCAATCACGGACTCCGGTTCCACGCTCTCCACCAATCACGGACTCTGGTTCCACGTTCTCAACCAAACACGTTCTCCAGTTCCATGCTTTCCACCAATCACGGACTACGGTTCCATGCCCTCTACCAATCACAGACTCCGATTCCACGCTCTCCACCAATCACGGACTACGGTTTCACGTTCTCAACCAATCACGGACTACGGTTCCCCATGCCCTGTACCAATCATTGACTCCGGTTCCACGCTCTCCACCAATCACGGACTACGGTTCCATGCCCTCTACCAATCACGGACTCCGATTTCACGCTCTCCACCAATCACAGACTCTGGTTCCATGTTCTAAACCAAACACGTATTCCGGTTCCATGCTTTCCACCAATCACGGAATACGGTTCCATGTTCTCTACCAATCACGGACTACGGTTCCATGCCCTCTACCAATCACGGACTCCGGTTCCACGCTCTCCACCAATCACGGACTCTGGTTCCACGCTCTCAACCAAACACGTTCTCCAGTTCCATGCTTTCCACCAATCACGGACTACGGTTCCATGCCCTCTACCAATCACAGACTCCGGTTCCACGCTCTCCACCAATCACGGACTCCGGTTCCACGCTCTCCACCAATCACGGACTACGGTTCCATGCCCTCTACCAATCACGGACTACGGTTCCATACTTTCCACCAATCATGGACTACGGTTCCATGCCCTCAACCAATCACGGACTACGGTTCCATGCCCTGTACCAATCATTGACTCCGGTTCCACGCTCTCCACCAATCACGGACTCCAGTTCCACGTTCTCATCCGAACACGTACTCCGATTCCACGCTCTCCACCAATCACGGACTCCGGTTCTACGCTCTCCACCAATCACGGACTCTGGTTCCGCACTCTCCACCAATCACGGCCTCCGATTCCACGCTCTCCACCAATCACGGCCTCCGGTGCCACACCTTCCACGAATCACACACATTATGGTTCCACACCTCTCAACCAATCACGGCCTCCGATTCCACGCTCTCCACCAATCACGGCCTCCGGTTCCATGTACTCCACAATCCGGGACGTGGAGCACAAAGGGCCCAAGCAAACGCCCGATATTCAACCTCGAATCCCAAATTCCGGAATGAAAATTCCAAAATCTCCAGTTACGAATGTGGAGCGGCGGCGCAACCGGCTAGCGCCCTCGTTCTGCGAAACCCGTCTTCGGCCCCGAGTTCGATTCCCGCTCGCGGCCACCAGCCGCCGCTGGCGATTTTTCCCCTCCTAGGTCGACTCGGCCTTAAACGAGGAAGCCCTGGGTGCGGCGTCGGCCGCGCCCGCAACATCGTAGGTGCCGCTCGCTAGCAAACACTCGGGGGATATTAAGCTTTGTACGCGGACGTGTCTGCGGCTTTACATCGTGGGTGGGGGGGGCGGGGGGGGGGGGAACGCTGTTTTAACGTAACGCCGGTGCAAAATAAATATTATTATTCACGGTCCCACCCACACGCAGCCCTCCCTTTGGTCGATCCACCGCTGGATGAATGCCGCACTTCGATGAGCACGACTGGCCGCCTGCCGCGTGTGTGTGTGTGCATAGACTACACTGCTATGCACTACGCTGTACGTTGCGCTACTATACACTACGATAGTATATGCTGCATTACACTATGAACTACACCACTATGCTATGCTGGAACGCTCATTTCTTTCGAAGCTGCTTTGCGCGTTTGGTTTGCCGCAACGGGCAGTAGCTTCGTAAACAGCTGCGGCTGGACGTGCACGGGGACGGCTTTGTCCGTATCCCTCGGGTCAAAGTGCGCAAGTCGAATGTCCATAGGTGGAGGAGTTCCACCGCATTTGACCCTGACGTCGGGGCCCATTGTGACGTCACCGCCGAGTGGCGGCGCCACGCGGCTGGAGCTCGTCCAAAATCACGTGACGTCATTTATGGACGGCCCCTAAGGTGCACCACGGGGTGGGAGTGGGGGGGGGTGTGGGGGTGGAATCTCACGCGTTGGTGGCTGGCGGTGGGCAACGCGTCGCAGATACGTCACCGAATGACGATTCATAAAATGTGCCGATGAAAAAAACATTCGCGACAACGCTGACGCCATCGTCGTCGCCGTCGCCAACGTCGCCAACGTCGCCGTCGCCAACAGAGACCCGCCTTCGGCGCGTGAAGTGCCGCGAGCCATAGTTGTCGGCTGTCTTCCTGGCAGCCGATTGGCTGCTGCGGCGGTGAATGGGGGGTGATGACGTAACCCCCTAGCGGCGGCTCTTACGTAAGCCCAGAGTCACGATCTCGCTGCGACTCCCACGCGTTACCGACTTACGATCCGTGATTTCTCTACGACGTGACTGGCTGTACTGCAATCATATGACGTAAGCCCCTAGCGGCGGCTCTTACGTGAGCCCAGAGTCACGATCTCGCTACGACACTCACCAGTAACTGATTTACGATCCGTGTTCCCTTTCAACGACATCACTGATTGTACCGCAATCCTTTCGTGAAATCTTCCATCTAAGCAACGGCTCTTACGTGATCCAAGAGGTCACGATCTCGCTACGACACTCACCAGTAACTGATTTGCGATCCGTGTTCCCTTTCAACGACATCACTGATTGTACCGCAATCTTTTCGTGAAATCTTCTGTCTAAGCAACGGCTCTTATGTGATCCAAGAGTTCACGATCTCGCTACGACACTAACCAGTAACTGATTTACGATCCGTGTTCACTTTTAACGACATCGCTGATTGTACCGCAATCCTTTTGTGAAATCTTCCGTCTAAGAAACGGCTCTTACGTGATCCAAGAGGTCACGATCTCGCTACGACACTCACCAGTAACTGATTTACGATCCGTGTTCCCTTTCAACGACATCGCTGATTGCACCGCAATCCTTTTGTGAAATCTTCCGTCTAAGCAACGGCTCTTACGTGATCCAAGAGGTCACGATCTCGCTACGACACTCACCAGTAACTGATTTACGATCCGTGTTCCCTTTCAACGACATCACTGATTGTACCGCAATCCTTTCGTGAAATCTTCCGTCTAAGCAACGGCTCTTACGTGATCCAAGAGGTCACGATCTCGCTACGACACTCACCAGTAACTGATTTACGATCCGTGTTCCCTTTCAACGACATCGCTGATTGTACCGCAATCCTTTTGTGAAATCTTCCATCTAAGCAACGGCGCTTACGTGATCCAAGAGGTCACGATCTCGCTACGACACTCACCAGTAACTGATTTACGATCCGTGCTCACTTTCAACGGCATCGCTGATTGTACCGCAGTCCTTTCGTGAAATCTTCCGTCTAAGCAACGGCTCTTAACGTGAAGCCCAGAGTTTCAACCTCATACGCTTTGGTTCTTTCGGTACAATCATGCAGGTAGAAAAACAATAGATCACCACGTTTCGATCGCAACGGTTTGCGTGTGTTGCGATCGAAACGTCAAGCGATCCATTCGATTCTCTTCTACCCACGTGGTGACTTTACCGAAAGAACTAAAAGAGTGTATGGATCACTGCGGTCACGACAGCTTCGAGTCGAGATGGTTACAGCCTCGCCACGACGCTCAACCTTTTAGCCGACTCGCGCTCCGCGTTTCCTTTAACCGACGCGCGCCGATTGCGCCACAATCCCATCGTGATATTGTCGCCCGACCGACGGATCTCGCTCGAGCCCAGTGTTGCCACGGCTCGCGATCACCCCTCCCTTACGGCATTTGTGATTGTGCTACAGTGTCGGAGTAGACGAGGAATCTTAAAGGGCGGCGGTTTGCTGTACTCTGGCCATCTTAGGGGGGCGGGGGGGGGGCAGTGCCATCTTAGGGGGGGGGTAGTGCCATGGATGGGGGGCGGGGGGGCGGGGGCAGTGACTGTGCGATAAACTCTGAAGTGCTCCACGTTCCCACGTGGTCTGGCGTCCTCGTGCTGCAGAGGGGGAGTGAAACTTTTGCCACCGAACAAAATGCCCACGACCCTCGCGGCGTCTCCACGACTAAAGGACGTTAAATGTGAACCCGAGGGATCGTGCACCTCCTTCCCCCCACTGGGCACCATATCCGAGCCGTGCCGGGGCCGTGCCGGCGCCGTGCCGGGGTTCGTGCCGGGGCCTTACTGAGGCAGGTTTCCTTTTCCACTGCGCTGGCCGAGCCGTGCCGCTGACGTTGTCCTCGACGCGTCTAGGTGATGCGTGTGACGTCACGACGCGTCTAGGTGACGCGTGTGATGTCACGACGCATCTAGGTGACGCGTGTGACATCACACGCGTCTAGGTGACGCGCGTGATGTCACACGCGTCTATGTGACGCGCGTGACATCACACGCGTCTAGGTGACGCGCGTGATGTCACACGCGTCTATGTGACGCGCGTGACATTACACGCGTCTATGTGACGCGCGTGACGTCACGACGCGTCTAGGCGACGCGTGTGACGTCACGACGCGTCTAGGCGACGCGCGTGACGTCACGACGCGTCTAGGCGACGCGCGTGACGTCACGACGCGTCTAGGCGACGCGCGTGAGGTCACGACGCGTCTAGGCGACGTGCGCGACGTCACGACGCACCTCGGAGACGCCCGTGACGTCACGACGCATCCAGGCGGCGCGTGACCCCACCGCCTGCTGTGTTCGCGTGGCACCGACATGACGTCGCACGCGTTGCGCGCGTCATTAGCCCCACACCTGGCCCTGCTTGGCCCCGTACCAGATTCAGATGGTGGCTTTGCGCAAGGCCACGGAAGTACGGCTTGGGAAAATTCCAGTGGAAAACCACCTGTGCTGGGCCCGGTTCTGCCACGGCTCGGATGGGCAAGTGGGTAAGCGGTATAACAGACGCTGAGCCGGCACGGCAGAGTACCTAAGTTCACATCCAGGTATCGGCTACACAAACTGCTGAACCACGAACTATTTTTTATTTTAACCAAGTTCGGCCCAACTGAGCTGTATAGCTCTTTTTCACGAGTGACCTGGCCATCGCAAATTATAGCAGCTCTACGAAGTGGCTTATCATCGTGTGGGAATTTGTATACTATACTACACTATACACTACACCACTATACTACGTTGAGAACTTGTTTCTTTCGAATTGCTTCGCGTGTTTAGTTTGTTTTCCTTCCCCCCGCACCTCCCGATTAGGGAGGTTGGCTACGTACGGTGCGATAGAAGAAGTTCAACATATACTACACTATACACTACACTACTATATTGTACAATACAATACTATACACTACTATATACTAAACTATACTACACACGACTATACACTACACTATACACTACACTACTATACACTACAATACTATACACTACTATATACTAAACTATACTACACACGACTATATACTACACTATACACTACACTACTATATACTACAATACAATACTATACACTACTATATACTAAACAATACTATACACTACTATATACTAAACTATACTTTACACGACTATATACTACACTACTATATTCTACAATACTATACACTACTCTATATTAAACTATACTATACACTACACTACTATACACAACAACACAATACTATACACTACTATATACTAAGCTATACTCTACACGACTATACACTACACTATACACTACACTACTATATACTACAATACAATACTATACACTACTATATACTAAGCTATACTACACACGACTATATACTACACTATACACTGCACTACTATATACTACAATAGAATACTATACACTACTATACACTAAACTATACTATACACGACTATATACTACACTACTATATACTACAATACAATAATATACACTACTATATACTACAATACAATACTATACACTACTATATACTAAACTATACTCTACACGACTATAGACTACACTATACACTACTATATACTACAATACAATACTATACACACTATATACTAAACTATACTATACACGAATATATACTACACTATACACTACATTACTATACACTACAATACAATACTATACACTACTATATAGTAAACTATACTCTACACGACTATACAATACACTATACACTACACTACTATATACTACAATACAATACTATACACTACCATATACTAAGCTATACTCTACACGACTATACACTACACTATACACTACAATATACTAC